CAATTTCAGGGATGCATTAAAAATTTTGCATATGTATTTTTGAATTAGTAATGTGTCATAATTCCACTCATTAATCAGTATTAATCCATTGCCGTCATAAATCACTCGTCCTGATAAAACCTCGCAAAGCTATTAGTTACCCAAGCTTGATTACTTTAATTACCCAAGCTTGAGGTGGGAACAAAGAGAAATTTGCAACACTGTGATACGTTGCACAAAATACTTCAAGCATATAAAAAATTTTTCACTTTGTAGTGCCACGAGCCGAGAAACTCAACCAACCGGACGAAGTCGTAGATTTGTGGCAAGTCAATTTGAAAATTCTAAAACTGAAGAAAATATCCGGATCTTTGCATCGGTCCGCAGTACCGACCAAATCATTGAAATTCTGCCTACTAATCAAAAAAAAAGAATCCTGTTACGAAAAACTTCTCTACCGACTGCAATATACGATCGACCCATCACTTCCGCTGTGGGCAATTTGAAGGCAATAAATCAAAAATGGTTGGAATTAACTAAACAACTGCTTGATGATAAACATAAAAAGGAAGTACAAATATATAGCTGATGAACGTGGCTTCATTAATGTGATGGAAAAAGATTAAGATGTGTCAGCAATGCTGGAGATGCACAAGGAGGAATTGGAAACCGTTTTGACAGAAAAGAGAGCTCGGACTCTACTACTCTTGCTTCACTCTCTGCATCCAGTGAAGTTTGGTACACTAAACTACCTAAACTGGAACTGCAAAAATTCTCTGACGAACTTTTAGTGGCCTGTCATCCATACAAATTTTCAAGTTGCTGCGGGAAATCAAAACATTCCTGCAATACAAAAATTGTCCTATCTCATTGACTGTAATAAAATTAAATGGAAGCAAAAATTAAATGGAAGCAAAAAAATTAAATAGAAAAAAAAATTAAACCATTCCTCCGCAAGTATTCAAATTCATTAAAAATATCTAGCATAAACAAATACCAATCATAAATATTGCTAAAAATTCATTCGTTACCACTGATGACTAACATAATCACAGGACAGTATCTTGTCAAAGAAGCTCAGAAAAAATGAAGCCGAAAAACAGAAGTGCCAACTAACGCCGATAATTGTAGGTTGCTAAGATACGCTGGACGTACAACAGAATCTGAATGCGATCTATCTAAATTATCTTCCAAAATGATGTTGGATAACATCATTGACTATCATGAATGCACATGAAAAAATGTTCCTGCAATAAAATAAATCAAACACTAGCTGAATTAATACAGAATTTCCCGATAGAAAGAGAAGGAGGTACAGTGAGAAGTACTATTAAAAGAGATTACATGTTGTGTGAACGATGCAACAATAAACCATTCCAATTACCGAATCATTCCCCATATCCAAATGAATGCGTACAGCGTTCATTCATATCTATGTTGGATTATATATATTTTGGTATAGTAACATTGGAGAATATTTCTTAACTATCAAACGCTCCATTGCATTGTTTTGTTGTTTGACTATTGGAGCAGTACACCTTGAAGTGGCACAGGATTTAGGTACGGAAGCTTATCTTCTACATGGGCTACCAAGATTTATTGCACATCATGGAACAGCAGAAATAATTGTAGTGACAATGCGCCTAACTTCAGAGCAATAAGTGAGATCGACAATGCGATGGAATGCCGGATTACCGAAATTAAAGCTATACTCAAACAAAATCTCCACAATATCCAACAGACGAGGTGACAAAATCTTGTAAAATTAAAACAATGAAGAGGATATAAGCTAACAATGGACAGCATAGCACAAAACCGTCTCAGTATCTACATCATGGAGAATGATATTGTACCTATACAATGGACAGTGCTAAAGACCAGCCATACATACCTCCATGATAACCCCGATGGACCTTACAAAACTCCTCCCCATTCCTTATATATTTATGAAAAAATCCTGAGACAGACAGTTCAGTTCAGTTTTTATAATCGAGCAGACGATACATCTTCGCTTATTCTCCACGACTGAACCGCAAACAACAACATCGTATATTCGCCACCATTGGACAAACTGCGATATTCTTATCGCGAATTTCGAATATCCCGAAGCTCCAAATGAAATAAAATGATTAAATAAGCCAATGTACAAATCAATCACACAATTTGTAACAATATCATGAATCATTTAACCAATTTTACGTCTTATTCATTGTCTTATGCGTTTTTCTTTGTTATCTTTATCTGTGTTCACATCGTTTCCCATTTTTATGGAACAAAGCACACTCATAAGCTCAATTTCTTTGTCTGAGAACCAATCTTAATTGCAATATTGCAGACAGAGTCTTTTGTTGTAATTGGATTTTGATAGCTTTTCTTTATCCAAAGGAAAATCTGATATGTTTGTCCATAAACCACTCCTACCAAATGTGTTCTTTGTGTTAAAATTCTATATATACCCAAAGTTATAACTAGGAGGTTCTTCCAGACCCATCCAGACGCTCAACCAAAGACTGTACCGTACATTGCATCCTTTATTCTCTTCAATAAATATTGTTACTGCTATCCTCTACATTAATAACTTCCTGAACTGAACGAAAAATACCTCTTCAGAATATTCGTCTGTCCCGAAAAACAAACCTTTTCAAATCAAACCCGACAAAGCAAAAACTTTTACTTCGAAAGGGAATGACAAGGAATTTGTTAGTTGTTCATATTACTTGCTTTTTGTATAACTCATCACTGTTTACCAATTCATCGTGTAATATATACATATATATTTCACACCTTTATTGTTACTAACCAGTAATACTGTGCAAGAACAATGTTACATCCTGAATAATCTATATCGCTGAGAAACGAATTCAACAGATTAACTTTCCCAACAGAATTTAGTCTGGAAGAAGATCCTTCAGTGCTTTGCTATTGAAGTAAGAATAAAATTAAATATTATTCCTCACATGTCATGACAAGGAGGAATATATGACTGACTAATTAGATTGACAAAATGACAAAATCAGCGTTTAAGCGAGCCGTGGGAGGAAGTTTTCTGAGCGAAATGGAACTGATTATTATGGCAATCATCGGAATTGAAGCTATCTTGAATTCCCGACCGTTAGCATAAATGATGCAAGTCTTTTGTCCTATTGATTTCATAAATCCTTTGGCTAAATTTGGCGATTCATTCCGAGAAAAGAAATCTGATAATGAAAATTATGGTATAAGTGGAAGCTGTCGTGACAGTTGAAAGAAAAGAAGGAAAGGAGATTGTTATTGTTCGTTGTAAAAGCAGTTATATTTTAAAGGAATGACTTACAGTGTACCGGTTCGTTGTGTGTTCGAAACGTACAACAGATTATCTTTCTCTACAGTATGCCCATCCATGTTTATAAGATTCGTTGTCATCCAGATGTGCGCAAATCTCAGCATTAGACAAAGCTCCTTTTCTCGTTAATCCATTCATGCGCGTCACGAATTAGATGACGAGGGCATTTGGCTACCTTAAGAGAGTCATAGTTACTCCCGCCGTTTACCTGTATATATATATATATATATATATATATATATATATATATATATATATATAGTA